CCCCCCAGCCCGAGACCTGGCCCTCGGCTGTGTGCAGGGGGGTTGGGGACAGGTGCACGGACGACCAAGGAAGAGATCTGGAGTGCTCCCATTTCCTGAGAGCCCCAGACACAGGGCCACAAGGAATGGTGGGCATCGCTAAAGGGCTGTCCTGGCCCAGGGGTGCCCCAGGCCGGATGTCTTGGCTTACTCAGTTAAGGCCAGCCTGGGCCATGAGGCCAGCTCCCGCCAGGCCCAGGCCCAGGCCCAGCCCCACTGCCCCACCCCCAGCAGCCGAGCACCTGCAGAGATGGAAGGGGGGATGGGGTCTCCTCCCAACCCCATCCCCATGGGATGTGGCTGGCAATCTGGCTCTGGGCCTCCCCTGGGAAGGCAAAGCCCCTGTGTCGTCGTGACAACGCCCCACGCTCCACCTATCATCACCAAGTTCTCCCCCGGGGCAGGTGGGGGTCAGTGGGAGACCCTATGGGGCAGCAGTGGGTGGGGAGGGGGCAAACACTTCTCCAGGGTGGGGCACACAGTGCGGCCAGGACACCCTCCCACCCCATGCTGGGCACATCCCATTCTGTCCCCACACCCAGTCCTGGTGCCCTCTTCTCCCAGCCCCCTCCCACCCTCTACCTCCACACTGCGCACACTGTGGATGGAAGTGCCTCCAGCCAAGCGTCTGGTGCCTGGTCCTTTCCCCCACTGCCCCCGCCTGTCCTCCCGGGTGCCAGCTTGCCAGCTTGCCAGCAAGTCCCCTCTCTGGTCAGATGGTCATCACAGCCCCCCTCCTCCTCTCCCACCCAGCAGGCACAGGCTGCTCCCAGGCTCCCCCTCCCCTCCAAGGCCCCCCGGCCCCACTGGTCTGGGGCAGATGCCAGCTCTGCCCCAGGTTTTGCACTCCACCACGACTGGCTTGTGATCGTCACGAGGCCTACGTCCCCCAGATCAGGAGGCTGGGTCACACTCATGCGGCTGGTGTCCAAGACCAGGGCTCGGCATGGGCAGGAAAATGTGTTTCCTCATGGCAGGAGGGGCTCCCCGCTACAAGAGGGCCTGTGAGGCAGGTGACCTCCAAGGCCAGAGCCCATGAGTCGGCTCAAGGTCAGCTAGGTCTCAGGGCAGGGCCTCCTTCCTAGGTCCACAGGATGAACTTTCACAAAGAAAAAGGCTGCTTGATTGGTACATGAGATCTCAGTCCCGCCCCAGCTCCTGGGGCCTGCTTCCCCTCCTCAACCAGAACTGCCCTAGGGGCCCCGCCGGGTCCTGGGGACAGTCACCACGCACTGCCAGAAAGAAGCCAGTGGGACCCAGCAGTCAGACTGGAGCTGGCAGAGCGCCCCCTCCCGGCAGAGGAGAGCACTGCACCTGACAGGGGGCCTCACACAAAGCAAGGCTGTCCCCCGAAAACCCAGGCCTCCGCTCCTCTCAGACCTGGCAGCACGGCCGCACCCCGCCGTGCCCTCTGGGGGGAGGGCCTGCACACCCCCCGCGGTGGACGCCCACGTCTCCCTCCTTGCTGCTGCCTTTTCGCCCCTGGGGCACTGGCTTCTCACCTAGACGTAGGACTCCAAACTGGACCCCACCCCCGGGCACCAGACCACCCCCCTGGACGGCCGGCCACCAGCCACGGGGTCACACAAACCCTGTAAACAAGGAGAGGCCGACAGCACCCCTTAGAAGGGAGGAGGGGGCAGAGAACTGCCCTGCACCTCACTGCGGGCAGCTGCCCGGAGGTGACCTGCCCCGGCTGGTGCTGGAGCCCAGGCCAACCTACTGCCCTCGGCTGGGCAGGGTGAGGACCTCACCGGCTCCTGACCCTGGTCCCCGTGTGGCCCGGCCCAGGCAGGTGCCCTCAAGTGCCCCCTGTTCCAGGGACCAGAGGGAGGAGCCACCCAACACTCCCTGCCCCTCCCACCGGCCCCAGTTCACCAGGCGGCAGACTGTGTGGGCGGCAACTTTAATACGGGCTTGGCCTGTCTGCGGGGCTAGGAGGGTCCCCTTTGACTTCACCCCCTTGGGAGTGAAATCCCAGTGAGACTGTCTAATTCTGAAACAACCCATGAAGCAGGGAAGTCCTCTCCATCCTCCGCAGCCCCCGCCTGGCTGCTGACTGCTCCCAGCTGGCATCTCGGGGGACCCGGCCGGATGCACTGGCTGTCCTGGAACGTCCCTTCTCAGCAGGACTGACCTCTGTGCACAGACTCGGGAGGGATGGGGTGGTTAGGGCTCCCGAAGTCGTCGATCCAGCAGGGACGCCCCTCCTGGCCCCCTGCCCCAGAATGCTGACAGATACACACAGAGAGCCTTCCACCCCAAATCTACATGGAAATAGCATGTCAGGAAGCCAGGCCAAGGCAGGGACCCCTGAACTGAAGCCCCTGCCAGCGGACAGGAGCAGCAGGAAGAGGGAGAGGGGAGAGGGGAGGGTGGGAGGCGGGGTCTGACGCATCCCCCCACAGCAGACAGCGCTGGGGGACGGCGGCCAGCGGAGCCGTGCGCACCAGGACGAGTGACCGGCACCAGGCGCGACGGGCCCGGCCCGGCCCCAGGAACCACAGCCTCGGAAGCTGCGCTGGCTGCAGGGTTTAATCCAGAAACGAGAGCAGGACAGCGGCGCCTGGAAACGCCCCG